AGGATTAAGTCATTCTTAAAAAAAATAAAATAAAATTAATTTAGGAGCCTGGATCTTATAAATTGGATACATAATTTACAATATGCAAAACTTGATTATGAATTTCCCGGGATCGAAGGTTTGAAATACTATCGGTTGATTTCTAGAATTGCTAATAACTTTTGATATACTGATGATTTTATTACCGAAATGTTTGTCTCAATGAAAGGATTCCAAAAATAAAAAAAAAAACTTACAAAAAACCCAGGTATATGATGCTGTGGCGGGAAGAAAGAGAGAAATTATTCAAAACAAATTAATATATCAATATATCAAAAGTTATTAACAATTTCAAAAATTATCCTATATAAGTTTTCTGGTATATTACTATTACTATATATTTTATTATATTAAAAAGTTGCAATTATGAAAAAAAATTAAACATAGGTGCTTTGGTACATGGTGGATTTTATCATGCTTATGAACGTGTAAAGAACTCTATATTATGGACGATTCAGTGGATGATGACAAGAAAAGAAAATTCATGTCGTGGATATGATGTTGTTATAACTGGACATTCTTTGGTTGGTTAACGTTAAAATTAATATTTATCTTTTGTTTTTATTTTCTTCTATTAAATATGTTTTAATTTTTGTATATTTGAAAAAAGGGTGGTGCCTTATCATCATTCTTAGCCATAGATATAAAGCGTTACATTCTTGATCCAATTGTCCGTTCATCAACTCAATCAACTCACTGGCTTCTTCCTTTTACAATTCATCTGACAACTATTGGCGAACCGAGAGTTGGTAATCACATTTATGCAAAAATATTACAGACACAGCTAATTTCTCAATCACCATCTTTAAAGCATAAAGTAACAAGAATAACTCATAAAAATGATATAATAGTACATTTACCTCCATTGAAAGAGGGATTTATACATCATGTGCATGAATTATGGGTAAAAAATAATAATCAATCTTTTTTTTGTAATGATATAGTAGAAGATTCTGAGGATCCGATTGAGAATCCAGAGTGTCTTGCTGGTATTAAATGGTTTGATCTTAGTGTTCACTTATTCATTTGGAATACTACTTTTACACCTTTTTGTTAATATTGAATAAGATTTAACCTCAATATCTAATCCATTATTAAATATTTCTATTTTTTTTTGTTTGTATAATTTTAATATTTTTTAGAAGTATAAGTATTAATAATGCAGGCATTTGTTAGGGTAGTTACTACTTGCGGCATTACGGCAATGACGTAGAGATCATAATATCTTTAGATTAAATTGCCATAATGTAGTATGTAATAGCAGTGAGTCGTTTGTGATGATGTATACCGTGAGTGATGCTGCATGCCGTGAATGATAACTGTAAGTGATAACTGATGTTTATAAAAAGTTGCTTGTGTTTATGTAAGTTGTATAATTTTAAGATCTTTAAATTTTTTTATTTTATTATTTAAACCAATTTTAAATTAAAAGAATAAAATAACCTTGAATTGGAGAAAGAAAAAATATTAGCATATTGTATTTTACAATATTTAGCCAATTTTTTGGAATTTTAAAGAAAGTGAAATTGAAAAGGCATTAACAGATGTATTTTGCAAAAACATTTTTTTGATTTTTTGGAATTCTAAATAAAATAAATTTAAAAAGAAAAAGTACTAGTTGCATGTTGCAAGAATATTATACTGAAGAATTTAAATTTTTAGTACAATAAACTTGGATTAGAAAAAAAAAATTATTAGTAGATATATTTTACAAAAACATATTTTAAAAGATTGAATCTTTAAAATAATAATCTTGGATTAGAAAGAAAAAACCATTAGCAGATATATTTGTAAAATTATTATAGTAACTTTTGGATTCTTGAAATAATAATCTTGAATCAAAAAAAATTAGTAAATGTATTTATAATAACTTTATGCTAGTATATTCAATATAGTTGTATACTACTATATACTAATCTATCAGATATTTAAAGAAAAGCCTTTTCTCTTATCCCAAACAAATAATAAATAACAAATACAGATATATTAGATAGGATAAAATTATTTGTCACATATGTGATAGTAGTTTATATATTACTAATTGTGATACAAGCCAATCAAACTTCAAAATCAAATATAATATAACACAATCAAAAAATTCAAAACAAGCATTATTTTGTAAAATCTTTTATAACTCAAAAATTTATATAGTAAACCACTTTTAGTATACTAACAAAAAGTTTTTCTTAGGTAATTTTATTAATAATCTTGCTAATATCTATTCTTGAAATAAATGCTAACCTTAATCTTAAAAAACTTTTAAACTTTTATTGATACTAAGAAGATCATATAGGTGACAATATCATATACATGTTAATTAACTTTTTCTTATTAGATAAAAACAGATAAATTATATTTTTTGAAATATTGTTTTTTATATATTCTTATAATATTTTTTTATTTTAAAATTTTGTAATATTTTTATTGTTTTAAAATAATTAAATAAATTTTTTTGCTAAAAGAAACTTTTTTTACTAATCCTCTGAACACAAATTTACAAAAATAAAATTTAATAAAAAACTATAAAAACACACAAAGACTACTAAGAAACCAAATCTAGAGCTTTAAGAAAAAAAAACTATAAAGAACATTTAGTTTTTTAAAAACTTGAGTAAAAAAAGTAAAAGTGACAAAGATATAGAAGGAAACATAAAAAATTATTAATAATTTTTGCATTTTGTGAATTTTTAAGAATCAGTTTTGATCCTATAATATAGATCTGTTTAGGTAATACAAGATTTACAATATGTAATAAAGAATAAATAAAGAAAATACATCAAAAATCATATAATAAATAAAAACAAAGAGAATAAACAAATAACAATAAACAATAACAACAACTGACAACAATGAAAAAATAACAGAACCCTCTCTATCCCCTTCATTAATTCAACGATTCAGTCCATTTCAGCTAAACAACCCTTTAAATTTTTGGGATGCTGGTTTACCCTTAATAACAAACAAACTGCACAAATCAAATTAATTCAAAATGAAACCTTGCAGCTAACCTATATCGCTAGTACAAAGAAAATTACAGACAAACAAATTGTCTACATCATCAATATGGTCATTATTCCTACATTAGAATA